GAAGGTTAGGATCATAACATAGAAAGCCCTTTTGATGAGGAGAATATCCAAGAAAAGCACATTCAACAGATTGTGCAGTGAGCTTGGTGCGTTCTTGTGGAGTAAGATGAACATAACACACACAACCGAAAATACGAAGAGTGGAGTAATTTGGTGGGTGACCATATAACCGAATGAAAGGGGATTCATTACCTATTGACGGAGATGGCATTCTGTTTATAAGATGGACAGCGGTGGAAAGGGCTTCACACCAAAATCGTGACGGCACATGAGACTCCAACAAAAGAGTGCGGACAACATCGAGCAAATGGCGGTTTTTTCTTTTCGCTACTCCATTTTGTTGTGGAGTTGAGGGGCGTGACCTTTGAGATATAATGCCATTGGATTGCAAATATTCCTGAAATGAGTGTGACATGTATTCCCCTCCATTGTCAGAGCGAAATATTTTTATTTTTGATGAAAAATGGGTTTGAACATAAGCATGAAAAATTTTAAAAGTGGAAAAGACTTCATCTTTTGATCGAAAAAATAGACCCACGTGAAACGACTATAATCATCAATAAAAGTTACAGAATATTTGTAATTAGCATGAGATATAACTGGTGTCATGCCCCAAACATCACTGTGGATGATATCAAAAAGTTGGGTTACATTAGACTGATGTGTTGGAAAAGGTAAAATTTTACTTTTACCAAGCTTACAAGGAATACAATCAAAATGAACAGAATTAAGAGATGGAATGTGTTTATTTCCAAGATAACTAGATTTAGCAATTTATGAAGTACATTTGCGTTTGGATGTCCAAGACGCTTATGCCACACTTGGTAATCAACAATAGCAGAATTACACGAAACTAAAGGATGAGATAGACTTGGAGGCAATGAGAACTGAGTTGAGAAAAGACGTCCAACTTTAGGCCCCTTCGCGATTATCTTCCCTGATTGTTGGTCCTGCACAAGACAACCAGATTGTGAGAATTGTACTTGACAATCATTCTCGACTAATTGACCAACTGAAATGAGATTACTAGTGAGATCAGGAGAGACAAAAACATTTGTTAGAGATGAAGAAATATCACCGGTGGATGTGATAGGCAATTGATTTCCATCAGCAGTATGTATCTTGAGATTTCCAAAATATTTTTTGATATTAGTAAGAAATTGGGTATTGCTGGTCATGCGGTTGGAAGCCCCCGAATCAAAGTACCAAGAGGAAGAGGATTTACCTGAGAATCCTAGAGCAGAGAATGCTGAAACAATCATTTGTTGAACCATTTCAGGGGTCACCGTTGAAGTAGTAGTGGAAGCATTTCGTTGAACCGGTGCGGAATTGGCGGAATTGTTAGGAATAGATGAATCAACTGAGGCTGTAAAAGCTGTGACATTTCTCTTTGGTGGTCTGATTGGGCATTCCTTAAGAATATGTCCATCTTTTTTGCAATAGTTGCAAAATTTTTTTGGACAGTTTGAAGCATAGTGTCCTAATTGTTTGCAACAAAAACATTGAACAGAACTCATGTCATGACTTCTTGATTTTCCTCGTGCTACATATGCCACTGGTACAGTAGATAATTTTTTATCTTCAATGATGGATTGTGTAAGGAGACGTTGTTCTTCACGTAACAGATCATTGAAACACGCATCCAATGATGGGATAGGATTTCGATGCATGAGATTGGACCGAATGCCTTCAAATTCAGATCTCAATTTCATAAGAAATTGATCTCGTTTAGTAGTTTCATGAACAGATTGTACAGAACTTAGACCTTCAGGAGTCAAGTCTGCATAAACTATATCGGTGTATTCAGCCCATAGATTCATGAATTGAGAGTAAAAATCAGAGATGGGGAGACTATCCTGTTTAAAGAGAGCTATGTCATGTTCAAGCTGGAATCTTCGAGCGGCGTTGTTCTGATTGTAGACTTTCTTCAAATATTTCCACATTGTGGCTGCTGTTTTGTAAGTTCGAAGATTCAGGACAATGGTGGGATCATCGGAACCTAGAACCCAGGACATGACTTGAGCATCTTTGACCACCCATTTGGCATGTGCAACTTTATCTTTGTCTTTTTCAGGGGCTGGAGTGTTGCCATCAACATGACCCCACAAATCTTTTCCTGTGACAAAAATCTCGAAATGGAATGCCCAAGCTGCGTAGTTTTTGCCATTAAGGCGAACCAACAAGACTTCACGCTTTTCGGTAGACATGGATCTATGGAAATAGGAATTGGACAAGAACGACGAATTGAGCGAGAAACAAAAGAGAAAAAAACGAGAACAAAGATGAAACAAGATCGTGAAAAAAAAAAAAGACTAGGTTCTTGGATATTAACCTAGGCTGATACCATGTTAACTAAGAAAGTTTAGGTCAAAGAACCGTATCTCTTTTCATTCTGATCTCTCATATAAATATTGTAGTTACAAGCTGTCAGGTTGAATATTCAACCCACTAAATTAGCTAAACTGCCCTATTTACATTTACAACTAATTATGTTAATTAAGAGAATAAATATTACAAATAAATATACAATCTCTACAGAATTATTTCTAATAATTAACTCATTATTGCCAATAATTCTGTTGACATGCCCCAGTCTGTTATGCCACTAAGAATACACAAAATGTCCTAAACCAGTTACATTATTTGCACTAGAATTCAAAGCAATTGAAGGTAAAGTATGACTTGCGAGTGTGTGCACATAAGGTGACTTATTTGTGGAATCAGAAACAGCCTTGAGATTGCCAAAAGAATAGAGTCCATCCTTCCCAAGTGTCCCTTGAAGTAGCACTTCAGAAGTAGCCTGGGATTTAACAAGACAAAAATTAGGGTGGAACTCAAAGTAGACCTTGTTTTCATGTGCAAACTGACTGACTGAAATCAGATTCTTTGTAATCTGAGGCACTAGCAGTAAGTTATTCAAAGTAAGTGTAACATGTGGTTTGTGTGTAGATGTGAAGAATGTGTTACCAATGGAAGTTATAGACAGACCTTAACCATTGTCAAGCATGACTTAATCAGATCTTAAAGTGGAGATGCTGTCAAGGAAGTGATCAGCAGAATTTGTAACATGATGAGTGGCTCCAGAATCTGCATACCACTGAGAATTACCATCTAGAGAAGTACCAGTGTCAGTTCCAGCAAGATAAGCCTGAGGTTGCTTGCCAGAATGAGAAGGCGTGGCAGGATTGGAAAGGAAGCCTTGTGCAGGACCACGCCACTGAGTAGGAGGCATCCATTGATGTGGTATCTGAGTTGGAGAAACAGCTTGGATCCAAGGAACTGAGAAATTGGACATAGGTGGAGTTGCAACATTGGGAGCATGTCGCTGATTAGAACCAGAGGGAGCTACAGAGAGTCTATAGTAACACACCTTTGCATCATGACCAGATTTAGCACAGATCTGACACAGTATCTTAGATCTTCCACCATTACGACCACCACCACAAGCGAACCGGCCACCACGACCACCGCGATTGCCGTGAAATAGTGACAGAGGTTCCGCAACAGTGTGTTGCGCAGTCGCATCGAAAACAGTAGACGAAGGAAAATCTTGTGGTTGCGACATTGTACCTTGCGCGAGATTGAAAGAAAGTTTCATGAGGTGCGACGCGTGTAGATCTATCCAAGCGAGCCTCATGAGAGAGAAACATCGTTTCAGCAACCACAATCTCACAAGGTTGATCGCGATACTGAATGATTGAAGCTTGGGTTTGATATTCCGGTGGTAAGCCATCAACGATCGTCTCAAGATGATCGCGATGAGAAACCGAATCGCCTATGGATTCCAGAATATCCACAATCTGCTGAATGCACCCCAGGTACTGAGCTATGGTACGGTCTCCTTTCTCCATAGTTCGCAGCTCATAGTGCAGTTGACGAGACTTTGCGTATATCTAAGTGCGCTGAAATTGATCAATAACGGTCCAAAGTTCATGACCATGAACGCATTTGACAATGCGTGGTAACACCGTCTCAGACAATGTGGTGAGAAGCCAGGTGAAGAAAAGAGAATCTTTTTGATGCCATTGCACATATGCTGGATTCTCTGTGTCAGATGCACGATCTGCTGTGGAAAGATGACATGGAGGAATAACAGGATTCACAAGGTGACGATGAAGCTTATGGATGCAAATGATGTCTTCAACTTGTTGCTTCCAAGAGAGAAAGTTGTTGTTATCGAGTTTGATACTGATTTACTGAGCAAAGGTTTAGAACGCATTCTTCAAAGATGAAGCTACTGTGTTTGGAGAAGAAGAAGTTGTGTCACTCGCCGGAGAGTTGTTTTCCGGTGAGGACAACGGTGTAGGAGTTGCAGAAGACGCCATGGCTGTGATGGATCACAAGCTCGTGATAACATAATAGAGTTTGATAAAGAGAGCATTTTAGAGAAGAATAGTGTTTTTGCATTAACTGATTCTTAAATCTGAACTATTACAACAGAATGCTATTTATACTAGCATTGGTAAATGACAGCTCAGCATAACTAACTCATTATACTAACGTTGGTAGATGACAGCTCAGCATAACTAACTCACTTAGTTAGTTATGACTGAGATCTAATACTATTACAAAGTGCTGCCAGGTCAGCATAGTTATACTCTAATAAGCTCTTGATACAATTTTAGAGTAGTAAGGAACCCAGGGAAAGAGAAAATTGAGAGATGCAATTTCCTTATCAGGATTTCTGAGTATTACAGTACTGACTACAGAGCATATGCTTATATAAAAATTGTAGCCATTATATGGCTGCAACTGACTCTATAAGACAACTATAACTAAAACAGTTAGTGACATCTGTACTAGCTAACTAACCAGTTAACAGAGATAGAAATGAAGTCATATCAGACATTTAAAACTATCTTATTATTGTATCATATTTTGGATATAGATGTTATTTGGTCATTAAGTGGAGGAGATATGACGAGATTGTTAATGCATCCATTTCAGTAACATCCATTAGTATATCAAAAAATGAGGCCTAGCCTAAACTGAAAACTTACTTGCAAGGATGCCATCTGCTTTTGCCAAGCCTCCTCCATTGACTTCATCTTTGTCTCATATTCATCCCTCTTTCGCTCAGATTGTTTTAGTTGTTCTCTCAATTCAGTATTTTCTGCTTCCTTTTGCTCCACAATTGCTTCCGCTTTGTACACGCGATTTTGTAATTCTGCTAAAGCTGAAGGCATGTTCTGAAGCAGCTCTTTGGACAAATCCTGCTAAACCAACAAGAAGAAAAGAAAGGGCCTTCATCATGAGTGGATGAGAATTTTAACAATATCATAAAGAAAAAATATTATATCCATGGAAGCAATATTCCAAATAGTAAATAAGAAAGATGTGTATTAAATGCATATGCAAATGAAGTTACAATATGTTGAATGGAAGAAAAAAATTGGAATACAACAGCATAATCAGTGTTTGGTGCCATTTTCACTAGGAGGCTTACTTAACTGTATAATTACAACAAAAATGAAGAAAAGGGGAATATTTTGGATATCTGGCAGCAAACTAGTAAAATCTGGCTGCAACAGAGTTTAGTTTTTATGCCACATAAGCTTAATTCATATTCCTTGAATTACCAAACAAGGAATTAAATACGGAAAGAAGTTTTCCCAATGCATTTCCAATCATTGTTAATAGATTTAAGTTGAGGGGTTAATAATTGGAATATAATTAAGAACTCAAATATACTAGAATTCGGAGTAGTCAAAATTACAAATGATTTAAATACTCTATCTAGGACTTCTGTCCATTGGGTTACAACTTTGTGTTCTATTCTTACTCATTAGTTTAAGACTTTTGTGTTTTATTCTTATTCTTAAATTAATTGTTCATTACTTAGTTATCATAAACAATTCAACTGCTTGTTCGTTTAAATAATCTTTATTAGTTTGGTATTTGCTAGTTAATCTAATCTTAGTGGATCTGGCAATTTTTTATACTAATGCAATAATTGGCACTTTATATAAGTGACTTTTTAGCACAACAACAGACATTTGTGTGATAATAGTATTGAATGGTGGGACAGAAGAGAAATGTAAAAACTATATGTTTGAAACTCTAATTAGTTACAAGTTTTAGTCAGAAAAAAGAATAGGAAAACTAGATTTTAGTGTATTTACAACAACAGAAAAATAGCTAAGTAGAGATGGAGTTGTCTAAATTAAATCAGAGAAAATAAGACTATTCAAGTGCATGGTAAAATACCTCAACTTCTGACATCTGAACACAAGAGTTCCGTTTAGGTTTTTCATTTTCATGATATTTCTTCAGTCTATTGATGTAACTAGGATCCCTACGAACCAACCAACCACGAATCACTGCATGAAAAGGAAACAGAATAACAAAATCAAATTCAACACCTACTTGGAAGATAAGCATGACAAAAAAGAGAACCGTGCTAACCAGACTGAAGTACTATGATTGCATGAATCTCCTCAAGTTTTTTAGAATAAATTGTTATGGAAGATTTCATCAAAACACCATGTTTCCTTCTTGTAATGTCTCCATGCATAACTGCAATATGACAAAGTAGCAATTAGAAATTTAGAAATAAACTAGAACCAAGGTCATGAATAATCAATTGTGACAAGAATTTTGTGATACAACAACAACAACAACAACCTAGCCTTATCCCACTAAGTGGAGTCGGCTGCATGGATCAACTTCCGCCATAATGTTCTATCCAGGACCATGCTTTTATCTAAATTGTTAAGCTCGAGATCTTTCTTAATAACTTCTCTTATAGCTTTTCTAGGTCTTTCTCTACCTCTAACTATTTGACCCCTCTCCATCTGATCTACTCTCCTTACCACATAATCTAAAGGTCTTCTCTCTACTTGTCCAAACCACCGAAGTCTATTCTCCACCATTTTTTCTACTATAGGTGCTACCCCATAAGTACCAATAAGGTCCTCAAATTTATGAATAATCAATTGTGACAAGAATTTTGTGATATGAGCCTACAGTTTAGATATTTAATTTTCTTAAAGCATGAGTACCAATAAGGTCCTTAAATTTATTATACAACTAGAGGCCAAACTGCAGAGGTGTTTCTACTTCAACCAATATCATATATGCTTTTATGATAATTAGTTTCCATTTCAACCAATATCATCTATGTTATTATGATAATTACTTGAGGAATCTTCTTTTCAATGAAGAAACTTATTCATAATGCCTACACAATCAGTAGATAGGTTTGCAAAATTGAAACTAATACTGATACTGGCAGTACATGATTGTAATGTTGTCACTGCGTTCCTAAGTTTACGGAAATAACTGCGGGCTTGATGACCACGGAAGCATTTTTGAATCCCAAGTATTCCCCGCAAAAACTGTTTTCTCTTATCCTCCAGTGCACCAATCTACAAAACAAACCAGAGCACATGATTGACCAAATAAACACAAAATGTAAAACTATAAAATCAAATCAAACAAGAAATAACAGATTAAACATAACCAAAAATTAATGCTTCATAAACAAATATTGAAAAAAGGGTTGATCAACTTTCAATGGCACCTCCAATGTTGAAGTACAGGTTTTTAATTTGACTTACATGATGCAGGGGGATAAACAAAATGAAAGTACTAAGTAAAATACATCCCTACGAAGAAAACTTAGACATATACCTGCCCTGCTCGAAGATATAGTTTTGTGTGGCCAACTTGGTACATTTCAGAAGGGATATTAAATTTTTGCAAAACTGCAACTGAGACGCTCAACGGATCCTGAGGTATATCAGTCTCAGAAAGCAGAAACTTGTACCTAGATACATATAAGAACTGAAATCAACTCATCGGTGAAGATAATCTAGAAACCCTGACAAAGTTCTCAAATTCCAACTACCTTCTGGAAAATTCTTGATGGTTCACTCGAGTAGGAAATCCAGCCTTCGAAATTTTAACAGCTTCTAGAACTCTACAACATCTGAGCTGTTGTAGGACAAGTTCCTTGTCGTAAATTCCAGGAAGGTTCTTAGTATTTGGCTTTACGCAGCGAATAAAGTGAGGAGTGGTGCTCTCCAATTGATGCATCAACTTGAACGATAGATCCTAAGGAACTTGTTAGATTTGTGTTACTTGGATAATTTCTTTGTATATGTAATGTTTAAAATGGCATTTATTTCCCATCATCATGTCCTAATCTTCTGTGAAAAATCAAAATAGTAATTTCTTTCCAAAGCCTTATTAAGCTAAAGTAGCTTAAGAAATGCTAAAAGATTACCTTGAACTTTGTTCCAACACCTCTCTTCTGTGAGTATAGTGCACCAACATGGAAAGTGGAGTTTCCATGCTCCTCGGATTGGTTAATCACTTTGGAGAACAGCTTCAGCAGTTCACAATTACATGATGAAAGGAGTTGAATAGCATTAGAAGACAATGTATCTCTGTTCTTTACTAGAAAGTCATTTGTATCATACAAAACCTGATAGAAGCCCATATATTAGTAAAATCACAAACATAAAATAAAAATTTCATGGGCACACTCTGAGTATGGCTTAGAGAGAAAATTTAACAAAACAATGTTTGCTCATAGCTACTTGACTATAAGAGTTCCAGCCATAAAACACTTGCCAGATGCTTGCATGCTTAACAAAATTACATTTTTATTTGCAGGTAACGAAATAAATGGAAAACAAAAACTCGTCTTATGTATATTGTAGAAACTAGGAAGGGAGCAAGACACCACATTCAAAAACAGCTTATAGGTCATTTTCAGAACTCGCACCTTTTTGCAAATCACATGCTAGATAAGAGTACATTCCTGATAATATACACAATAAAGAAATAACTATAACAGATCTTAGAACAGGAATTTGTCATATATCATCTACATTACCATGCATGTATTGTTTAGACACTTTTTTTCTTTTCCACTATATGCAATATTGTAAAAAAGAATGCAAAGTTTAAACAACTTAACTTGAGTATTAATAAATTAAATAAAAAAATTATAAAGTGGCATATAACCAGTGTTTTACAATATACATATGAGCCGTATCTCGATTCAAAATAAAATTGAACTCAATATATATATGAAATGTGTGTAATTTTGAACATGAATCCCGATCATATTGATTGATCAAAATTTTCTCCTGAAATTTCTGTAGCTGTAGCCAGACACTTTTTCTTGTCATTTTTATGTAGCCAGTCACTTTTTGTTTTGTTACTTTCATTTATGACTTGAAATGTTTTAAGGTTTGTGTATAACATATAAGTGTATTATTTTGCACATCTCTTGTTTATACTAAAAAAATGTCTTTTCTTCATCACCCATCTTACAATTAAGATTCAATTCAAGATTTGGCAAACAGATCTTTCAATTTATGATTAGAATCTCAAATTCACGATTAGAATCTCAAACTGACACTAAAAGCCCTGTCTCTTTCCCCTTTGGAGCAATGATTAGTGTTTGATATTTGTAAGTAGTGTTAAGAATATTTGTATATAGAATAATCTCACATCGACTATATCATGTAATTAGTTATAATCTCTCTATATATAATAATGTCTCCGTAGTGTTTTTCAAAACACACGGTTTATTCAAATGTCTCTTAGTCTCTTGTATTTTAACATGGTATCTAGAGTCTGCTAAGAGGCAATTTTTTCTTCGTCGTGCTTTACCCGGTTGACCCAGTGTCTTCCGGTGAGAAATTTTTGTTTTTGTAAACTGTGTTGTCACTCCGGTTTGCCTCTCACTTTTCAAAATTTTTCGATAACCACCCTAACACCATTGTTGCCGGTATTGTTCCGACAAAACTTTCGGCGATGTTCCGGAAAGCGACCCCACCATCAGTTTTCAAATATTTTCCGGTCATAACCGCATAGCCGCCGTCTGCCGTCGTCGCTACTATTTCCGACGACCTTCCGACAATCTTTTTCACCGACTGAAACTTCCGCACGCGCCCACACGCGCCACCTCTCTTCAGATACTCATGGCTACTCCTCAAAACTTTACGCCAAACTACGATGATTTTCTCAGGTGGTATCAGAGTTATCATAACTCAGATTCTACTGCTACGGTAGCACACGTAATTCATCTGTTTGCCTCTCTCAATCATCTCCTCTTCAACCTTGGGTCCTTGATTCTGGTGCGTCTGATCATGTTACTGGTAATAAAAATATTTTCTCTTCCCTCTCTACCTCTGATTTCTTACCTACTATAACTTCTGCCAATGGTTCTCAAACTCGATCCGAAGGGATTGGTACTGTTCAAATTCTACCTTCTCTCTCTGTTACTTCTGTCCTCTATGTACTTAATTGTCCATTTAATTTACTTTCAGTCACTCGTTTAACTCGTTCTCTTGATTGTAGTGTCACTTACACTAACAATAATGTTACCCTGTAGGATCGGAGTTCGGGACGGACGATTGGCGTCAGATATGAGTCTCAAGGCCTTTATTACCTCTCATTGTCATCTCAAACATGCTCAGCCCAAGATTCTCCTCTCACTATCCATGCTCAGCCCAAAATTCTCCTTTCACCATCCATGCTCAGTTAGGTCATCCCAGTCTTTCCAAATTACATAAGTTGGTGCCAAATTTATCGAAAGTATCTAATTTACATTGTGAGTCGTGTCAGTTAGAGAAACACACTCATAATCAATTTTTCAATCGAGTCAACAAACGAGTTTCGTCCCCTTTTGCTTTAGTTCACACCGATGTTTGGGGTCCCTTGCGTACTGTCTCTACTCTTGAGTCTAGATATTTTGTCACCTTTATTGATGATTTTTCACGTTGCACGTGGTTATTTTTAATGAAGAATAATCTGAATTGTTTTCTATTTTTGAACAATTTTATCGAGAAATAAGAACTCAATTCGGTGTGTCTATCCGTACCTTAAGAAGTGACAATGCCCGTGAATATTTATCCCAACAATTTCAAAATTTTACGTCACACAATGGTATTATTCTCCATCAAACATCTTGCTCTCACACACCTCAACAAAACGGTGTAGCCGAACGCAAAAATCGGCATCTCGTAGAAACCACTCGGACCCTACTTCTCCATGGTAATGTTCCACTTCGGTTTTGGGGGGATGTTGTGCTAACGGCATGTTACCTTATAAATCGCATGCCCTCATCTATCCTTAACAATAAAATCTCCCATTCAATCCTTTTTCCCAATTCTCCACTTCACCTAATTCCTCCTCGAGTCTTCGGGTCCACATGTTTTGTACACAATCTCTCCCCTGGTCTTGATAAACTATCAGCTCGATCACTAAAGTGTGTCTTTCTTGATTATCATCGATCCCAAAAAAGTTATCGTTGTTATTCACATACTCTACAACGATACCTCATATCGGCCGATGTTACCTTCTTCGAGTCTGTTCCATATTTCGAGTCCAGCCAAGCAACTCCGGAACCCCTTCAGGAAAGTATTCTCACACCTCTTCCGGAAGTTTGATTTGCCATTGTCCCCCATCATTCTAGGGAACCTAGCCCACTAGATAGGCCTATAGTTGACCCCTCCACTTCTCGCCCACTTCAAACATATCAGCGTCGTCAACCAATGTCTGTCGTACTTGTCCCTGAGGTCATTGCAGGCTCTCCTCCGACGCTCTCGCCATCACCGGATCCGATCCTGCCACCTGAGTCCAATCTTCCGATTGCCCTTCGAAAAGTTATACGTCAAACACGAAATTCTTCTCCACATTATATTGATTTATGTTATCATTGTCTTTCTCCTTTGCAGTATACTTGTTTGTCTTCTTTGTCTTCTGTTTCTATTCCTCAAAATCCAGGTGAAGCATTATCTCACCCTGAATGGAGACAATCAATGATTGATGAAATGTGTGATCTTCAAAGCAGTGGTACCTGGGAACTGATTCCTCTACCCCCTGGAAAATCTTTAGTGGGTTGTCGTTGGCTTTATACAGTGAAGGTTGGTCCCGATGGTAAGATTGATCGATTCAAAACTCGCTTGGTAGCCAAAGGATGCACTCAGATTTTTGGGTTGGATTATAGTGATACCTTCTCGCCTGTAGCCAAGATGGCATCTGTTAGACTTCTTCTAGCCATTGCAGCAACTCGACATTGGTCTCTTCATCAACTTGACATTAAAAATATTTTTTTACATGGGGATCTTGAAGAGGAAGTATATATGGAGCAACCATCTGGGTTTGTTGCTCAGGGGGAGTCATTGAATATGGTGTGTAGGCTACACAGGTCTCTTTATGGTCTTAAGCAATCTCCGAGAGCTTGGTTTGGCAGATTCAGCGCTGTAGTACAGCAGTTTGGTATGGTTTGTAGTGAAACTGATCATTCTGTTTTTTATCGTCACTCACCCCAAGGGTGTATTTATCTTATTGTGTATGTAGATGACATTGTCATAACTGGTAGTGATCAGTAGGGAACACTCCAATTGAAACAACATCTCTCGAAACAATTTCAGACAAAAGATCTTGGTAAACTCCGTTATTTCTTGAGTATTAAAGTAGCTCAATCTAAAGATGATTTGGTGATTTCTCAGCAGAAATATGCTATGGGTATTTTGGAAGAAACAGGGTTGTTAAATGCTAAACCAGTCGATACTCCTATGGATCCAAGTGTTAAACTACTACTCAATCTAGAGAAGCCTCTATCTGACTCAGGAAGGTATAGGAGATTGGTTGGAAAGTTGAATTATCTCACAGTTACTCGTCCGGACATATCTTTTGCAGTCAGTGTGGCAAGTCAGTTTTTAAATTCCCTTTGTCAGGAACACATGAATTTTGTTATCCGGATTCTGAGATACATCAAATGTGCTCCAGGAAAAGGTCTTGTGTATGAGGATAAAGGACATACCCAGATAAATGGATACTCTGATGCTAATTGGTCAAGGCCACCCATTGATAGACGATCCACCTCTGGGTATTGTGTACTTGTTGGAGGAAACCTTATATTCTAGAAAAGTAAGAAACAGAATGTAGTTGCAAGATCAAGCGTCAAGGCAGAGTATAGGGCCACAGCAATGGCAACATGTGAACTTATTTGGTTATAACAGTTGCTCAAGGAACTTCAAATTGAAGAAGCAAGACCAATGACACTTATTTGTGATAATCAAGTTGCATTGCACATTGTATCAAATTCAATCTTCCATGAGAGGACCAAACATATTGAGATAGACTGTCACTTTGTCAGAGAGAAGATCGAGTTAGGTGACATCGTCACAAGCTTTGTCAACTCTAATGATCAATTGGCAGTCGTGTTTACAAAATTACCGCGAAGTCCCAGAACTAATTATATATGTAACAAGCTTGGTGTATTTGACTTATATGCTCAAGTTTGAGGGGGAGTGTTGATATTTGTAAATAGTGTTAAGAATATTTGTATATAGAATAGTCTCACATCGACTATATCATGTAATTAGTTGTAATCTCTCTATATATAATAATGTCTCTGTAGTGCTTTTCAAAACACACGGTTTATTCAAATGTCTTTTAGTCTCTTGTATTTTAACAATTAGCTTCCCGGAAGTTCTTAAGTCTATTGACAAATGTTAAATCAGAAGTCTTGGAAAAATTTGATTCATCATCCGATAAAGAGAGTAGACTGAGAGGTTCTGCATATTTTCAACAGATAATATAATGACTACAGTAACGACAAAATAATGCGAAGCAGCCAACATTGGACCCGAACACAATTATTTTATAAACCAAATAAAGACGTGTTTCGTTTAAGAAATTTTTTTCTATTTTCATTTTTTAATGTCCTTTTCTAAAAATTATTTTAATATTCAAATTTCCAACTTTTAGAAAATATGTTTGTTTCTACTTCTTATTGTCTATTTCCATGAAATGAAAATATGGGAAATGTGTTGCTTAACTAATTTTGACTATCTTAGTAAAAGAAAAAAAAAACTAATTTCACATTTTTAACAAAAAAAAAGACATTGGAAAGATATTATTTAATCTTTAATTATTGGCTCATTTTTTAAATTTTAAAAGTGTAACTAAACTTGGTAGGAACGTGTCTTCTGCACTTTTGTGTGCAACTTTTCAGGACAAGCGTGTGATTGTGTGTGCTCTATCTTTGATTTAGGAACCTTTCCCCCGAGAATATACTTATAGACAATAATAAAGTGTTGTTATTCAGTTATTTATTGTATTGGTATCAATTTCTATCATATAATAGCAGCTCAATTTCCAGACAACATGGAATAAACATAAATAATTTTGAAAACTAAACCAAATAAGTACCTTCTCAAATAGATCCAAGCACTCTTGATTGTCCCCAAAATCTAATGATGTACAATCGATGCCATCTGATTCACAGTCCTAACAGAAAAAGTAATTTGAATATCAAGAACTTTAACCTTAGACATGCGTGAAAGTAACACCTCCTCTCACTGGATTTGTTATTCACTCGGATGAGAAATAGTCAATTTACAAATTGTAGATAATTATGGAAATTAATCAATATTTATATGATTCTAATATGTATTTAATTACTTTGCACTGTTACAGAAAAATCTCAAATTCAAAGATATTGGATATTGAATTAATAAATATTGGATATTAATCAATATTTTTCCAACGCTAAGTGGAAAAATTAATAAGTTTGGCACACACCAAGCCAGATATTGGATATTGGATTTCTTGTAAGTATGGTAAGCCGCCAAATGTCAAATCCGACATAGGCAAATATGGCAAAAGTACGAAGGGTCCTACAACATCTTAAAGGCACTCCAGGAAAGGATTTGTATTTCAAGAAAATTTTAGATAAAGGAATTGAAATCTAAACGGATTCAAATTGGGCAGGATGTGCTTTAGACAGAAAACCCACATCTGACTTTTGTTTATTTGTATGGGGAAACATGGTTACATGGAGAATCAAGATGCCGTATGTGGTAGCTAGAAATAGCATAGAAGCAAAACTAGAGTCATGGCAGCAGGAATTTGTGAAGGAGTGTGGCTAAAGAGGATGCTTGAAGAACTGAAAATTTCTTACAATGGTGGGGTGAGAATAATGCGTGACAATAAGGTTGCTATCAATATGGCCTAGAACTTAGTCCAACACGATACATCTATGAATACCTTAGAAGTTAGAACCAATCTTGGTATGATAGATATCTATCCCCCAGATTGAGAGAGTGTATATAATTATGCAAATCAATCAGAATTAATATGATTTTGATTTGTATTTAGTTACTTTGTACATTTACAGAAAAATGTATAAGTTTTCCTTATTAGTATTATTAGTATTAGTTATAGTGAGAATCAATTTTCCTCCTGATCCTTAGGCCATAGAATTGATAACAATACCTGTATTTTTTTTTTCTATTTATTTCCTCCTCTGTATCATTTAGAATCAATCAAGTGAATATTGTCTTCACATTTCCTTAGCTAGCACAATGAAGGTGTTAGAGACTGCAATGAGCCCAAAGCGTGGACAATGCGGGAAGCCCAGCAATAGATTTAGGATAAGTTTTGATACCATCTGAGAATTTGGATTGTTTCTAACTCATTCCTACAAAACCGCCTTGTAAGGTGAGGATTGTCTCCGCTTATAAACACAACACAGGCCATATCTCTAAACAATGTGGGACTAAATCCACCCTTTTAAAGCTAACACAATGAAAGTGTTAGGGGCTGTAATGAGGCAAGTCCAACATTGATTAAACTATTTTCTATGAATAGAATACCATAATTTAATCCTCATCAAATGTATTTTAACTACAGACATGAGCGTCTATGGTATTACACCCATTGCACTGTGTTCTGTTAGTATTTGGCAACAATTTTGGATGTCTGATCAAATCTCCCCTTTTGCAAAGCATACGGTATTACACCCATTGCACTGTGTTCTTATAGTATTTGGCAATAATTTTGGATGTCTGATCAAATCTCCCATTTTGCAAAGAATACGGAAGTACTAAACTTTAAATGCAAGGAAACGTTTTTCTAGGAATTCACACTAAGCATTCTTAGGACAGTAATTCGCACAACAAAATTCACAAAATTATTTCACATTATATTGTTCAGTGCTAATTTATTAAAGGTGTTTGAAATTGAATAATATATTTCAAGTAAGGTAAAATTACAAGAAATAATCTCTTTATATAAGACTATTCTAA